TGGCAGCATAGGAATCATTGCAGTTTAGACAGTATTACTTTTCAAGCAGGATGGTTGGCTTTTGGGATGAGCTGCCTTCAAGGGTGGTAGAGGCAGAAAACTTAACTGAATTCAAGAAAAGATTGGATAAATACACGAGTAGTAAGGGATGGTTATAGTTAGCAGTTGGAAGTGACATCCTTGATGGTCTAATAAACTACTTTTTGTACCATTAAAATTTTACAAATTTATGTAAAAACTTTGTTACAGGAATGTAAAAATAAACTGCAATATCAAATTATAAATGAATTTGGCAAAAAGCAAGACAATTGCTACATTCATAAGTTAGCTATTCTCAGTTTAAAAACAAAACCTTGATTTTAATTAAAAATATATATTAATGGCAGTCAGCAAAATGGGGACATTATGCACTAATGTCCTTACCATAAATTACACTTTTTTTTGCTTATTTAAGTCAAAACTTATGGTTAAATATAAGATGTGGAATTTTTAATTTTGAGATGAAGTGCCCTCTAGTAACAAAGGACACTCAAATTAGTATGATTATGAATGTAGATCTTTCGGTATTGTTTACATAAAGTACAGTTAGTTATTTGAAACACTGAAGTTTTGTGCAAACAAGTAATCAATATCAGGTACTCTTTTTAGGTTAGCATCTTATTTTACAAACTTATGCAACTTAAAATAGTTAAGTCTTAGCAGAATTCAGTATAATTAAATAATTTCATGTCACACTATTTGGGCTGAAAACAAATCCAATATTTTTCAAAACCTTTTGCATTACTCTATTGATGTAACTTGTTGACAGGTGTATTATTTATACCTGGAAAGTCTTGTTTTAAATATTTCACAAATATGCTTTTAAGTTAAAAAGTAACTTTGAAAATAGTGTTTGTTGAATTTTACATACAGCTATTTGGAGGCTATCTGAACTAGTCATCCATAATTTTGAAGTGATAGACTAGATTGAAGGTAGCTAGTGAAAACTGCCAACTCTGGGGCTACACTTCACAGAGGAATAGTGGGATTGAGAGTCACATTATAATGACCCCATGACTGAAAGAGTAAGCATGTTCTGTGGCACCCAGATTGTAAATTGAGGCCCTTAACCACCAGGCCAACTTTAAAAGTAAACTGAAGAAATGATTTCCTGTTTGATAATTATTTATAAAGTTGTATTCCCTAAAAACACTTATTACAATCTACCATTATTTGAATATATCAATCCAAAAGTATGATACACTTGAATGAGAACAGTATGTTAAAGATAATTCCTAAAAGAATACTTCCAAGTGATGGCACAATTTAGTTTTATAATGTTGCATGTATACATCAGATGTAAAGTCCAGATAATTTATTGCCTTTCATCTTTATTTAGATGACTTGGGTTTTTTTTTTTTTTTTTTTACATTACCCAGAACTGTTTGACAAAAGGTAGTACATGAGGAACTTAACCTAAATCTTCAGTGATAAGTTTTCACTCATTAATTAGTTATAACTTAAATAATGAAATTGATAGGATGTAAAGTGATTGCTCATTCTAAGTCGGTTATAATACCAAAAAGTTCAATAAAATTAGTACTTTATTTTTTTCTTGAAGCATAAAAATGTAAACAATAAAAATTTATGTTTAGTTTAGAAAACCTAGTTAATATTTTTCAAAAGTTTCAAAACAAAAGGGGTATTTAAGAGTTATGTTAAATGTTAACAATTTTAGAAATTACTGATGCACATTTTATAGTTATTTGAATAAATGCAAGAGATATTCACAGGCTGCAGCTTCCTAAAAATTAATTTTTTCAGGTAAAGCATATAAAACATAGCCTAAAGTTTTAAATTTCACATTATTGTAATATGAATGGGAAATGTACTTCAAGAAATTAATTGCTAAGCTGTTCAAACAGTTTGGGGACATAGTCATCCCACTGGGCTTGGAAGAAATTTCCTGCCCATGGTTCACCCAAACCATACTTAGTAGCAAATTCTCTAATTTTGAAGAGTCCTCTGTGTTCCCCTGACGTGTTGGTTAGCCGTTTTTCTGTTGGGTTCAAGCGTTCTGGTTGTTTGTAGACTAATAAAACATAACGATGCAATCCTGGAAAAGAAGTAATTATTTAAGGAAACCACATATAATGTAATGTTTAAAGAATACAAGGTAGGCGATCACATTAATCAATTGCACCTTAATAATAAACAAACTACCACATGTGAAAATTAAAAAAAGGTACAAGAGAATGACCAAAGTACTAATTCTTCAAATAGCACTGGGGGTAAATCTCCAATTACCCATTCATATGCACATGAAAAACTAGTGTATGAACAACAGCAAACCAATTAAGGGATAGGACAGAACCCACAATGTCCCAAATCTAACTATGCATCCATTATCTGTTGCCAGCAGTAGGCATGACCCCCCCCCCCCAGTATTAATTTATATAGAACTAGAATACCCACCAATATATTAGGTGATCAAGAAATTAATGTACCCTTTTTCTTTTTAGATGAAAAACTTGAACAACTTACAAAACAAAACATTTATTAAATAAAATAGTCTCCATTCTTATCAGGGTTGTTAATGCTCTGATTAAAGAAATCACTTGGCTTTGAAGACAAAAAAACCATGTCTATGTACTCTTTAACATCTTCCACATTTGCCTACATTTTCTCATTAATATGGTATTGCAGCAAACGAAAAAGGTGGTAATCTAATGGTGCCATATCTGGAGAATATGGTGGGTGGGGGAGAACTTCCCAATCCAACTCCATAATCTTGTGTTGCGTCAAATGTGCCACATGTGGACACGCATTGTCGTGGAGAAGAACACCTTTCCGATAGATAAGTGAAAGGCATTTCTGATGAAGGTCCTGATTTAAACTTTCCAGTTGCTGACTATAGATCTCTGCATTGACAGTTCACTGTGGATCGAGTAGTTAGAAATGTATTACTCGTTTGATGTCCCACCAAATGCAAAGTATCACTTTCTGCAGATGGAGTCCAGGTTTTGGGTTTTTTTGTCTGGGACTGAGCCATTGTTTTTGGTGTTTATTATTTACATAGAGAATTCATTTTTCATCACCAGTGACAATT